TTACTTGGGTGTGGGAAAAGTAGAGAGCTTGTTTTACTAACACATTGGTCTTGAGATCTCATTAGTTATTTATTTATTGTGTTTCAAAGGAACATTCTTTGAAGTTAATTATTAGTTCAATAGTAATTTTGATCTACTTGTTAACATTAGAGTAACTTAGGTTATTTGATTTGACTAACTCTACTTTATTATTGCTTAGTTAATTTTTAGATCATAAATTTAGTACACTTGCTATACTGAAATAGTAAATATTTGGAACAATTAATGTGATTAACTCATGATTTCAGCATTACTATTTGATTCAATAGGTCACTATGCCTCCCCGCTCAAAGAAGATTGTCCTTGAATACTCCCATGCCGTAAATATCGAAGTCATCAATCTAGGGGTCCCCATCAACAAGAGGAAGTTAATGATTTTGTTGGTAATGCTAGGAAAATTAATGGAGATTAGATACCTCTGCCTAATGTTGTGCCCCAACCTAGTGTTAAGAAAACTTTTGAGATATATTAAATGCTACAACAAATTGTTGGACTCGCCTAATAACAAAATACTACAAATGACAACATATCTACATTATTAACTATTAGCAACAACAATTTTAGAACTATCAAGTATCAACAACAATTGGAACAAAACTTGATGGCATAGTGGAAGCAACATAACGGGTTTTTGGAATTTAAGAGGATCACTCTACCACCTTTTGAGAATACCATTGACCCTATCGAGGCAAAGAAGTCAATCATATCTAAGAGATGGAGAAAGCTCTTAAGGTGTTTAAGCGCCCAAAGGAGGATAAGGTAGTATATGCAACCAATTCACTAGAAGGAACTATTAACGATTGGTGGAGAACACAAGAAGGGGTGTGTGAGAATGAAGGAAATTGCACTTGGGACACATTTGTAAATGTCTTTTATGAGCATTACTTCCTTAAGAGTGTTGGTTGACAAAAAGAAAGGGAATTTCTTGATCTGATGCAAGGTAACTGAAGTACTGAACCATGGCCGAATATGAAGCTAAATTTTTCAACTTCTCTAAATTTACTCCTAAATTGGTGCCAAACTAGGAGAGTCGTGCTCACAAATTTGAAAAGGGATAAAATCCCTACATCAAATAAATAGTTGCTGCAGTTGAATTGAAGGCTTATGTTTAGGTGCTTAGTAAAGCATTACTAGTAGAGGGGGGCATTGTTCAAAATCAAGATACTGGCAACAACAACTAGAAGAAGAAGCAGGGATAATATGGGAACCTTGATGGTTAGAGGTTAGGGAAACAAGTTAAGAAGCTTGAAAATTAGAACACTAGAAACAAAAAACCAACAAGGTGGGGCTCCTAAGTGTTGTAAGTGCTAGAAGCATCATTCTAAAGCAAGTTGTTGATCCACTTAAAATCTATCTAGCCTAATAACCCATTATTACACATATTATAGGAAACGTGAAATATACCATGATTTTCACCTTTAACCCGGTATTTTTCTAAAAGCCATTGACTTGATTAGCTATCACTGACCAAAGCAATTAAACCATCAACCCATTCAACCCAGATAATGGTTTTCGCTATTTTTTGTTTTAATATTTTAATATTTTTTATTTTTTTAAATTACAATGAATCACCCATTTGGACCAAGGGGTTGAACCACTGACCTAAAAACTGGTGGCCGAATTCTGGGTTGGCTTTTAAAACACTGATCCATACAAATCTCTTATCTAAGATCCAAGCCCAATAATTATTCATTTTGTTCAGGTAGCGTAATCAAGGTGGACTCCATAACTAGGTTAGGCCTCTAAAAGGAAAGAGAAAATCTAGGCTCCCCCATAGTAATAGGTCTATTGTGGGTTATTGATAATTGGTACCCATATAGGTATGGGGCCCCTATTTATAATGTTTTGGGCCTCCCATATCTTGAAATCTTGCATTTTTCTTTTGTCTATATTACCTTTTAACTATTATTCTAGAAAGTTCTAGCACTTAAGTTGATGCTAATAGTTCTAATTAAGTAAATAATTGATTTGAACCGATCTAATCTAGTCTCATTTAGGTTTATGCCAGGTTAATGTACTTATATTATCCATTGTCTTAAAGGTAGTGTTGAGCTCACCTCCCCCTCTCCTCCTAAAAGCCCCACACTAAAATCCAAAAGCACAGTGCCTGGCCCAAACAAAGAGCTTACGTTCAAGATGCTCAAACAGAAAGTTGTTTTTAATAGTTAAGTGGTTGAATTGAATGACTTAATATATTGCTTTTTTGGGGGTAAAACTAGAAGTGATCATTTCGGTCTGACCCAATCTGGAAATTCTAGGCTTGGGCCTAGGTTTTGTGTTCAAGCCCAATCCATCCCACATATATTTAAATATATGTATTTTATTTATAATGTATAAATGTTTATATACGTCATTTTATGTTATATTATATATTGTATTAAATATTATAATAGGACACTTATAATTTATATTATATAATATATAAAACATATTTATATGCACATTATATGCCATTTAAATATAACATACACACACATATTGTGTGTGTGTGTGTGTTATTTTGTATATAGGAAACATAGGTCAAGAATCAGTCCCAGCCCGACCTAGACCAAGGCTTATTTTTAGGCCTAGAACCTAGGCTAGGTTGGTGCCATCCCTAGGTTATAGCCCTTATTTTAAGTGCAAAGCCTGCTCAGCCCATGATCACCCCTAGGTAAAATACAAAGAATTACCCTATACTTTGGAGGTAGTGACACATTTAGGTCCTTGAACTTTTTTTTGTGACAAAGAACTACCCAATAGTTTTAGATTCCAACATTCTACTCCTATTAGCATTCCATCAATTTTGAACTTTTATGAAAGCATTTTACACTCTCCTTCATTACATCTCCAAAATCCATGTTTTGAACTTTATAATTGATACTCTACCTCTTTCAACTCTCTTTCATCTTTCTTTTCCCAATAGGTGAAAAAAAAGGCAGAAGATAGGGAAAAAAATTAAAAATTTAGGTTTTGGAGATACATTAAAGAAAGATGGCAAAGAAGTCTCATAAATATTTAAAGGGCAAATTTTTTAAACTACCTCTACTATTTGTGAAATTGACTAACCATACCCTTACTATTTGTAATATTGTCTTAAACAGTTAAATTACCCCTTCAAGTTTTTTTGACAATTGTCAAACACCTCCCTTACCATTAGTCAACAGTCATACACTGTTTGCATGTGACACCACATGACTAATAATCTTGTATAGAATTCCTAAAATACCCTTTTATGATTGAAAATGCCCTTTTCATTTCAGTTCATTTCATTTTGAGCTCGTTCAAGGCTAGATTGTTTCTTACATTAGCAGTAGTGTGGTTCTGCCTCTAATAGCCATCGGTGTCCCCTTACAAGGAGGAGCTTTGGAACTATGGTGTCGATGAAGGAGCAAGGAGGAGGCTGGAGAGCTCAGTCTTGTTCTCTCTCAAACCATTTTTGTCACTCTCGTTCCTGAGTGGGGTATGTTGACTGACATCTTCATCGTGAAGGTGGTTGGAGAGGTTTCTACAGTCCACTTGTCAAACAGATGCAAGCATTGACTGCCACCTTCAATGGGTTTGAATGACATCTTTATTAGGTTCGAACAAATGTAGGCATTAACTAGCATCTGTTCGACAAAATAGCACACAACCCCAACCCTCTTGTCGCATGCATACCCATCCCCTTCCTGTCACACACATGCCCATCCCCCTCCCCTCTTGTTGCACGCCCAGCCCGCCCTTCCATGTCGCACGCTTAGCCCCCCCTCGCGTACAGTCATCTCAGCCCCTCACCCCCCACCTTGCACAGTCATCCCAGCCCTTACCCTACCCCGCACACACAGTCATCATATCCCCCCACCACTACCCCATGAACACATCATGTTTGCTCGATGAAATGTGCTAATAAATAATTTTTTAATTTTAGGCACACCAATTGTATTTTCTTGAACTGTCACCATGAATGTTGTGTCCATGTGGTGGAGAGTGCATCATTGTTGTGGTTAAGCATGGAATGACAGAACGTTGGTTGACAGTTCTATGGGTGCCACTACTATGTATGTTAAAAGTTATGTTAGTTATTTTATGCACATGTTATATGCTAAATAACCTGTGTATTCATTGTAGTTCATCCCTGATAGACGATGCAACTTCTTATGGAATGATGAGACAAAGATGTGTCCTTATGACATTAGGCTATGTAGAGTATTCACATCCAAAAGGCCTGGTAGCCAAGGGAAATAGTTTTGGGTATGTGCAAAGCTTCAAGTATGAAAAATTTTATAGGACGCAAGTGGCTATAAATTCTTTTCATGGATAACTTTAGTGGAGAATGTCAAACTAGCATGGGGAGTGTAACAATGAAAGGAGATGAGTCAAGACCTTATGGCACTACTGGAAAATTCATCTATAGAGGCAGCCAAAAAATGCCTCTAAAGGTTATAGGAGGCAACCAACTAAATGCCTCTAAAAGCCCTATCGCTAAATGTTTTAGAGACGCTTGGTTAAGCATTAGAGGCGGATTAAATTAGACTCTAAATTAGACTTTTAGAGGCACATACGACTACCTCTATTGCTCTGACGCTAAAAGTCCTATATAAAAGCAATTAAAAATGCTTCTAAAAGTTCAATTTAGAGGCACATTCGAACGCCTCTAAAGTATTTTATGGCAATTTTATGTGCCTCTAAAAGAAATCTAAGAAAAGGAAAATCTGTATTTAGAGGCACTTTTGGCCGCCTCTAAAAAGGATCCATTTTTTTTTAAGTGCAATATATTGTGAATATTATTACATATAAATTCCAATTGATACACATGTATAAAAATATATTCAATCAAAACATAGAACTTGTATGAAAACATATATAAAATGCAAAAAGATAAACCTTATCCATAAAATTCCAATAGACTTCCATCATCATTTTAAGAACAAAAAAAAAACAAAAATAATACAATATCCAACCCTCATTATATTCATTCTTCCTTTTGAGTACATGTCTTCTTTTTTTAACAACCTACAAATCATATATAGAGTAGTCCAAAAGAAAATCCTTTTATCTCAAAAAAAAAAAAAAAACTCTTTGTAGTCTTCATCCAATCCTTTCTTCCTCTACAACCTACAAAGAAAAGCAATAAAAAGAAAAAACAAAGTAAATATGTATAATCTTTGTAATATAGCAACAAAAAATGAAATAAAAATAATTATACATAAATTTGTAATATTTACCAAAAACAAAGGCCAAGCAATAGTAGCTCCAACAAATGTTCCAATTGTCTTATGACGTCCATGGGGTCTTAGTAAAGGCTCCTCACGAATTATCAGTACCTCAACATATACCTCTCAAAAATCTTGACCCAATTCAATATCTTCTACTTTTTTACATGGGTCTTTGCTTATAACAACTGCTTTGGCCACAACTTCTTACTTCCTTAAACTCTTCAAAAGAACCTTAATCATATCCTACAGTCAAATTTTTTTTATCAAATCCAAGCCATCAAAATAACATAAGAAAATAAATATATTTCTCTTCAACTTAATTACTAGATAAGAAAGCATACTTAATTGTAGGTTCTTGGACATTTTAGATTTGTTTATGCAATAGAGGCTTTACTTGTTGAACATGGAAAGTCCATTTCAGATTTGGCATTTGCCATCCAGGTCTTTGGCAATGTGGGTTTTTGGACATTTGCTAACAAAGGCTTTACTTGTTGAACTGTAAATCTTTTTTAGGGCTTTAGCAATCTGGGTTCTCATTGGCCATTTCAGATTTGACATTTGCCATCCAAGTCTTTGGCAGCAAAGCTCATTCAAGAGAGAAGTTTTTGTGAAATGAGTGGTTGCTGCAAAGCTGCTCCAAAAGGAGCGGCTGGCTGGGTCCAACTATCAATATTCCACGAGTTTCTTTGGTTTTCTAGCTGGTGGAGACTACAAGCTAGCTGATTCCAACCATGAGTATTACATGAGTTTCTTTATGACCAAGGGAGCATCCATATTATGTGGGCTTGTACTTCAATTAAATTAAATAAACCAACTATATATTGAGAGTATTGATAACATTGATAGTTATCACATTTTAGAAATATTTTGCTTTTAACTTAAAATTATTGACACATATATACACAAATGCATTTGTACATTAATATATTGATTCATACTTGTATATTTAAATACATGTGTATTTAAGATTATGCATACAAATATAAAGTTAAATCTGATTCAGGTTGGATTGGATTGGACAAGGCCTCAAACCCAACCAATATTATACTTTTCAATAATCTGACTTTTTTCGGGTTCAGTTCGGGAAAAAACTGCCCAAATTGCACCCCTGGGTCAAGAGAAAACATGACTATTAAAATGGTTCTGGACTTTGGGGGACCCATAGCCTACCACCTATCCCATGTTTATCAGAAATATGACCCTGAGCAAAATGATAAATGCGCCAAAAAATACTATAATTAGATGACAAAAGTCTGCACGCTTTGGCCTCTCACTTGGACCAAAGTCTTGGCCATTTGTGCCTGATTTCTTATCTTCTACTAAATTTTAGCTTTAGTCTTCGTTGTTTTTTTTTTTCAAGTTGTTTTCTTTCTACTGCTGTATTGGCTTCGGCCTTCCTTGTTAGTTTAATGAATGGCTGTTCTACTTGAGGAATTGGTGTATGCAGTAATAGGGGTGAGCATTGTTTGGTTAAAACCGAAAAATCAAACTCAAAATTTTGGTTTCAGTTTCACTTTTCAGATTTGGAAGTTCAGTTTCAATTTTCAGGTTTGGTGTATTTAGTTTCAGTTTTCAGGTTTGGTTAACCAAACTTTATTATTTATAATATATTAGAATATTGATGAACTGAGTGGTCCTTATTGTTTCTGCTTGAATAAAAATGGTTCAGAACTTTGGCATATTGGCATTTCAAAACTTTCTATCATCATCTCAATTCCCATCCGCAATACTTTACTATATGCTTACCCTTTCTTCCTGTTAGTAATATCCACTTGAAATTCTATTGGATAGGAAATACAAATTTTAATACAATTTATTAATGACTACCCAAACCTTGGCATAGGAGTATTCTCCAATTACTTTTTTGCTGAAAGAAAAAAAGAAGCCACTCATTTTGTTTCTAATTATTATGGAACTGAAACTTTTTTATTCCTTCTATTCTTTTTTCACTATAGTGCTTACATATTTACATCTTATAACTATTAACACAATGGTAGGGGCAAGTTGGGTGGGCTGAGCCGGGTTTTAGCTCAACCTACAACCAACCCTAAGAGTTGGACTTAAAGCCCAAGCCCAAGGTCAAGACCAAAACCCTGTACTGTCTTCATGCCATTTCCATACTTGTATAAGATAGCACACAATGGATATTATCTAGGGTTAAGGACTTGGAAAGAACTCAATTAATGAAACCTGAAACCCTATACTGTCTTCATGCAACAGGTCAAAATTAGCATCACCAAGCAGGTAAAATTAAGTCCCTTGGCATTCAAAGCTCTTGTTTCTAACTTCTGTAACTCTTATAAAATAAGTTCATTATCAATCATCAGTCATTTTACCAAAAAAAAATGCTTGACATGAAAAATCTCATGAAGTTTACAACATTAGACAGGACTGCATGGATAACTATAATTAGGTACACTTAAACGATACGGTCTGATATGAAGTGTCATCAAATAGTCATATCTAGTATCATGTGTTGTTCAGCCCTCCCACATTTTCTGTTAAATAATTTGCTTTCTATCTGACAAATTATTCAATACAAGCAAAGACAAAACATAAGTGAAAAGACAGAGATTATGAAATTTTCTAACAGGAAGCTTCCGCTCAACAAACTGTCATATACCATTCCTCCTACAGAATTTTTTTTTTTTTGATAATTAATTGGAATGTTTTATTAAGGCCCAACTAGACAGCAGGCCAATAGTTACATAGTATAGCTCCCTGTCATAGGGAGACCAACACAAACATGAAAAAATAAAGAGAAGCTATTACAGGCTGCAGCCCAGTCCTAGACAACCCCATTCTATCTGTTCCTTGTCTGCCCTAGCTCTTGCTAGAGCATTTGTCAACATGTTAGCACTTGTGGGCACTCAATTGAACGACACATTCAAGGTCAGTGGTTCAGTATAAGTAACTTATTGCATAATTATAGTCCTGCATTACAGCTCTTGTATATGTAGAATGATCTAGTTACAGCCCTAGACAACCCCATGCTCTAGCTCTGCATAATTTTAGTCCTGCATTACAGTCCTAGACAACCCCATGCTCTAGCTCTTGCTAGAGCATCTGTTCCTTGTTCAAGACCAAAGCCAAAACTCCATAAAAGGGCCTAAACCCACTCCAACATAGAATCAGGACTAGGCCCTAAAACAACCACCCAGACTGAGAGAATGAATGGACAAAACCAGAACTAGAGTACACACAACTCCTCAAGGTAAATGTTTCCCCCAAGATGAAGATGCCATACCTTTTGTAGATTGCTAATCTGATATGGAATTGGACCTGTGAATGAATTGTCCTGAGTTGGCAAGATTTATCTAAACCGACTGGTAAGGGACCATGAAGTGAGAACTTAAACTGTCCTTCCATTTCACCAAAGCTTCTGCTTCATCCTGAGCATGAGCTTCCAGGAAAACACAAGACGGAATGAGAAAGTAGAGAGTGATATGTAATGTTTCTCTCATGGCAGCAGCTCTACTGGTTTGCAATGTTTAGCCTTGCCCTGGTTCTATGTGAATGATAAATTGCTATGTAATCAGAATTCATTATCGATTCAATGAAGGAATTGTTATATATCTTGACCAGAATTGTTGAATTGCGCCACCAAAAAAACCTATAATATTTGAACAACTCCTCAAATCAACTCCATGATTATTCAACAACACACTGCCTCTTAAATTACAAAGCCAAGTCAATAGCAGCTACATTTGACTTTTAGGCTCAGTTTGCAGTGCAAATGTGCACTGGTATATATATATATATATATATATATATATATAATGGGTTGATTTATAAATTCTGGTATTATTGTATGGGTATGCAAATTTCATTTGTGTTATTTGTTTGTGAGAAGTAAAATGTAGTAGTTTCCACTTTATATGAAAAAGAATAGTTGGAGGAGGGTTATTTGTTTTGTTTTTTGGTAAAAAAGATGAACAGCAGAAAGCAGAAGGGACAAACACAACCAGCCAGCCAAACAGGGCTGGACAGGAAGGAAAGCTGGTCAAGCAACCGAAAAGTCCTGATGGGTAAGATGAGCAAGAACATTAAGCTGTCTGCACAAAAGATCCCAATCCATCTTGTTAATAAATTCAGTAAAGTTATAAAGAAGAAAACTTCGCCACTGAGTAGTGAGCCCAAAAGCATGACACTAAGGATGCACCCACAAGATCCCAAAAGAAATGAAGCTATCCTCAGGTCCACCATACATGGGCTTCATTGTTGGTAAGGCAACAATCCATCTTGTAAGACCATTAAGTAAGAGGAACCAAATTTGCATTAGGGGATCCGAAATTGCATTAACCCAATCACCCTACATAGAAACACTACCATGAAGGATGGAATAAATGGTGGAAAATGGTTTAGAATCTACAAAATAGATGAGTTAGAAAAAACACTAAAATTATGGCATCAAAACTTGCAAAGATGGCCCTTGTATTCTTGCAATAGTTTCCTAGTAGTCCTGTCATAATCAACATCCATTTAAATGGACAAATGGAATATAAATTACATCTATTTTACGTAAAATAACCACAAGACATTAACTGTTCAAAAGATGCAGAGTCGGTCAAAGCAACTATCCAATATGCAGTTACCATCATTTGGCATTGAAATGCAATTCACAGGTTGCCTCAAGTGATTAGATATGTCTCTAATAGATAAAAAATAAATATTAGAAGTGTTAGAAAATCCATTAATCAAGGATATGATAGGTTTCAATCTTAGAGAAGCAATACAAAACTAAAGACAACAAGCTTCTTGAGAAAATAGATGTGGCACTTAAAGCAAGGAAACTGAATTAACCATTGGTCTTGCATACCTACCAATACATGTCAAATTTTTGAACAGTTCCATCAACATTCCCATAAAGTATTTCACATTTTATCAAACAAATAGACATTATACTCTCTGAGAACGTGTCGATGATTTACAAATGAACCATGGCAAAAGTCAGTTAATAGGAAAGAAAATGAGTGCTACAATCTCAATTTCTCAGTATCAAATTGATGATACATTAAATTAACCAGAGTTGGTTAAGTTCTATGAGATCCACAATCCAAATCACATACTGAATTATTATACCCTACTGATACTACCAAAGATGCATACTCATTGAACTTCACACTATTTACCTAAGATAAGTGGAAAAAATTAGAAAAAGTCAAATTACTAATTTTCACTGATAATGTATAACTATACCTAAAAGTCTACTTGTGTGTGTGTGTGCTTCTGTGAGAACATAAATAATGGACATGTTTGGTTTGGTGGGAAGATGTTGTGGATGTGAGCATGACAATCACCACATCTTACTTTCTTCTTGGACTGTATTTTGCAGTATAAGCCTAACCTGTGTAGCTCACTAACTAGTAATAACTCACGACAGCCATAATTGAGTATGGTGTTTGGGATTGCTCATTGAAGTGCTTCTATAGCTTCCCAGTTCAAAAGCATTCTTCACATTTCAATGGAATTTGGTAATTAAAAGTAAGTGTTTCATAGATCCAAGAACATTTTTTTGTGCAGAATCAGAAGGCTAAAGATATCTCCTCGATTTTTTTTGAAAGGCAATATATTGTATTAATCAGACCAATCAAAATATATATCAACCCATGTACAATGACAGGATGTACAATGGGGATATGCAAAACCAGATGAAACAAAAATTTGTATGATTAAATGAAATGAGATCCACCAACAAAATAAGAGCTAAACTGGACTCCCTGAAAAGGTTTTCGTATGCTTAACCATGAACACAGTAATCTTTTTAAATTCCTCCTTACTACATCCATATCTATATATTTATTTCAACAATATGCATTTTTATTTCTCTCAACACTGACCATATAATATATAAGTAGGCAAATACCCCAAAGGACCTTTGCTCCACTGCTTAAACATTGTATTCTCCATCCTTTTGATTAATTCTAGTACTGTTTTCAGCATGCAACATTGCACACTAAAAAATTGTTAAGGCTAGAGTTCTTAAATGGTGAGATAACTTGCAGTGGATAAAAAGGTGGCTTGAAGATTATGTGCATTCATTACAAATATCCAGTGGTCAGATCTCCAAAAGTCTGAGGAATGGCTCAAAGTTGATGAAATGAATCAGCGGGGGAAGAAAAGGAAGATGGGAAGGATAATCAAGAGAGTCCCCCTGGGTATGGAAATCATCCCTTTAAACAGCTATGCCATGAAAGTGTAGGTGGCATTCATGGCTTGACCTGAATTGCTATTTCATGATCCAAGCTGAACCGGGCCGATTTGGCTTTGGCTTGAGACAAGTTAGATCAGGCCTATGACATTAAACATGTCTATGCTCTCACACTTCTTCTTAACAACAGATCATTTGTTAAACATCTTTCAAGTGAAGCTGTCCACACCAAGAAAGCCACCTTTGATGGGATGCAGTGGCTCCATATTTTAACCAAAGGGAAGTGATTTGGTTCTTGTGAAACCAACCTTGAACAATGAACTGGCCATCCTTTTCCAGTTTCTATATCCAGTCCCCAGCTTCCATTGGGTTTGCCTTGATGGTTTGTAATAGTCCTATCAACTCGACCATTGGGTTCAATTCCCATTCATTTAAATTTCTTCTAAATGAAGGTCCCCATATCACTTCATTATTTGCCTGTTCAAAGCAATCTCCCACTTTAGCATTTATGTTCTGGGCTATTTCAAAAAGGAAGGGAATTGCTCTTCGAGTAGACTCTCCACACTACCTGTCAGTCGAGAACTTCCTGGATTTTCGCTCCTTTGAGAAGCTGAAAATTAGATCACTTTCATAGGTTTTAATTTTGAGGTCATTCATAATGGCCTCCATTACCTTCTAATCCTTCTAATAAAGAAAGGTTTCCATATTGAATAAACTGATCAATAAAGAACAAAAGAAAAGGTGTTGTTCTTCTTATTATCAGTCAAGAACATTAATATTAAAAAAAAAAAAAAGCATTAATTGGCAGAGAAGCAGTAGCAGTGGTTGATTAGCAGCTAAATACAGGATAAAACACAAAAAAAAAAAAATGAAATTAAAGAACACTATTGACTGTTCATTGGGGGCGATAACAAGCTTACCTGATTATCGTCCTCTCCAACAGCCACGAAGGTGAAGTCCGTCCCCAATTGTCCTCTCTAAAAGGGAGTGGGATAAATATTAGCCACTGCAACTCAAGGTGATAGAGACGATGAATAGCGTCCCAGTAGCGAGGAAAGAGAAGGAAAAGGGAAGGGGAAGAGAGAAAAAAATAGAGAGTGTGAGAAAGGAGAAAAGTAAGAGAAAACGAACAAAAATGGAGAGATTACCTGGTTTCATCTCCAATCGTCCTCTCCGTGGTGTTGCTTGCAGAGAAGAAAGAAACTAGGGCAAGGATATCGTCCTATCCACGATGTTGCTTGCAGCGAAAGAAGAAACTAGGGCAAGGAAGACAAGAAGGGAGCGGGGAGCTTGCAGCGTGAAAGTGAGGGATGCTCGATTTTGTTTGGGTGCGAAACTAATATCAGCGACCACATTTGTGTCCGCCAAAATTTCTAAAGTAAAATCCCAATTTTAGAGGCAGTAAGAAGTGCCTCTAAAATGTACGTCGAAGTTTGCCTCCTATGATGCATTATAGAGGCAGTTTTTTTTTTACCGCCTCCTTCCTATTGCCTCTAAAGATAGAAATTCTAAAAGTGTGGAAACAATGAAAGGTCATCTAGGGACATTAGACGAAGTTGTAGCAGTTGTCCAATTTGAGAAGAAAAATTTGGATAGAATGATCAAACATTGTTGGTGGTAAATTTGGATAGAATGATCAAGGATTTACACATCAAAGATTTATGATGTGATCTTCTACTTTTGCATTAGTCTTTAAAGATGCAATGATCAAACATTGTAGTGATCAAAAATTTTGTATAAAATTAAGAAAAAATAGAACACTTGTGTGGTTTACTCTCTCTTTCTCCCTCTCTCTCTACTCAAGCCACAGTATGCGTGTAAGAAGATTATAAAGTAGAACTTGTTATGCTTGTGTAAATAGACAAACACTTGTGTGTGCTTTGGTAATAATAAAACCCAATCCAAGCTAATACTTAACATCATATACCTATGAAAGTTTGTTGGGCTGGGATCCAGGGGCAGTTTCTTCATATTATAACCTGGACAGATGTTTGGTGTGAAGAAAGACAACTAAAGGAGATTTTCCCTCAACTGTTTAACATATCACACGAAAGGAATGGGATCTTTTTAGCATATCAGATGAAAAGAATGGGTTGGTGGTAGATGTTTAGAAGACATCTGTTTAGAATGGTAGAGCAGAGTGGCTGCCACTATTTAGATATCACTGTGGTTCAACATATTTAAACGATTTAACTAAGGATAAATGATTTGAAGATGTTTAAATGATTTGAACAAGGATAACATGTTTAACATATCACAGCTGTTAAGAAGACATTTGTTCAACATATCACAGCTAAGTAACAAGAGTGGGGCTGATTAGGCTCCTATGGGCTAGAAACAAAAAGAATAGGATGGCCTCCTTTAAACCAAGGTCAAGAGTAAGTATTGGTCTATCATATTTTTACAAAAAGAATAGGATGGCCTCTGATGAGGGCGGATTTGGCCCTCCAATGACACTGTGACACCTAGGCAATATCTTAGTCAAGATGATGGTACAGGCACCGAATTGGCGACTTGGCACAGGCGCCGACCTGGCGACCTGGCATAGGCGCCGACCTGGCGACCCGACACAGGCACCAAACTGACGACCTAGCACAGGCGTCGAACTGGCGACCTCGACCAAAATTCAAGTCGGCTAAAAGCACCTCGTCCAGGACCAACTTGCAACACCTCATCACTAGCCGAAGTGACCTCGACACAAGGAGCAACCTCCCTCGAGGGTGTGCCGGCCTGATTGGTCCAGGTGGCGACTTGCAAGACATGCTCGCCGACAAATTCGGCATGCATATTCCAACAATCCCACGATCCTTGGAAGTTAGCTCAATATCGAACGTTCCGGAGGATGGTCAACGTGCATGGCGGTTGCCTCCGAGAATCTCGGACCACTTAGGCGACCTCTTGGAAATCCCGGTTATGGTGTGTGAATCCCACGCCAAACAATGCCTATATAAAGGCACCAACCCCAATGGCATGGGGGGGGGGAAATAAGTATATTCTAGCTCTCATACTTTATGATTTTTAGCTCGCAGTTTACTATGAGAGTACTGACTTAAGCATCGGAGCGACCTCGCTGGGTTAGCCACCCCGGGTCCTCTGACATTGATTCCTTGTAGGTCTCTAAAGAATTACGAAGCTCAACAATCAATCCAGCTCGACGGTCTGGTCAGCTCGGCACCTAGCCTACCCCCAGCTCAGCCTGGTAGCTCGCCACATAATTTGCCTCCAACTCGGCACCTGATCTGCCCCCTACTCAGCTCAGCACCTGATCTGCCCCCTGGTCAGCTCGGCACCTAATCTGCCCCTAACTCGGCCTGGTCAGCTCGACATCCAGGTCCTCATCCAACAAAAGTTCTCCACTTCGGCGTCTGAGTCATCGACCACTTGGAAGCAGACCAAATGACGAGGTACTTAGCCAAGAATTGATTCATCAATTGGTGTCATCTGTGGGAAACGCTACAAAAGTCTAAGTTCTCATCTTCTGAAAGGCTAAGTCCTCTTCTTCCAGAAAGCTAAGTTCTCACCTTTTAGAAACTAAAGCTCTCACTTTCTAATTTCCATTTTTTATGAACTCAAAGACTAAACAAGAAGTTGACGGCCAACAGACTAAGTAGCTTTGCCAACTTTATTTCAACTCGGATAAAGCCTCATTAGTACTCTTCGCGAAGTACCCTCTACAAGATGAGCTTTTCATGGCTCCCGCGGGAGTTGGCAGCCAACGGACTGCATGGACGCCCTTGCCAGTCGAGCTTTCGAGGGCTCCTGCACGAGCTGGTGACCTAAAGTCAGTAGTGTTGCCTCCGTAGGTCAAACTCCCAATAGCTTTTTGTAGGAGTGGGTGACCGACATCACTAACGAGGCTGATGCAGCGCAGCCGTAACTCTAAAGTGCCGAGCTGATAAAAGACCTCGGCACCACATAAGACCCAGTCGCCTCTTCGGCATGGGCAAAATCAAGGGTAAGGAGAGGAGCCTAAGGGCTAAAGTGCCGAACTGATAAAAGACCTCGGCACCACATAAGACCCAGTCGCCTCTTCGGCATGGGCAAAATCAAGGGTAAGGAGAGTAGACTACGAGTCGCTCCTATAGTCCAAGGGCTAAAGTACCGAGCTGATAAAAGATTTCGGCACCACATAAGACCTAGTCGCCTCTTCGGCATGGGCAAAATCAAGGGTAAGGAGAGTGAACTGCACGTCGCTCCCAGAGCCCAAGGCTACAAACACTTGGACTCTTTTGACCTGAGAAGCAAATTGGATCGACGCTTATGAGCTCATCGAATTAGTCATTCCAAGCCAAAAGGAGTAATCTACTCCCTTCGTCGAGTTACTTTCAGCTCGGGAGTGGGGGGTAATTGATGAGGGCGGATTTGGCCCTCCAATGACATTGTGACACCTAGGCAACAACTTAGTCAAGATGATGGTGTCCCGACCTAGCGACCTGGCACAGGCGCTGACCTAGCGACCTGGCACAGGCGCTGACCTAGCGACCTCGACCACAATTCAGGTCGGCTAGAGGCACCTCGTCCAGGACCGACCTGCAGCACCTCATCACTAGCCGAAGTGACCTCAACGCAAGGAGTGACCTCCCTCGAGGGCGTGCCAGCCTGATTGAGGTCCAGGTGGCGACCTACGAGACGTGCTCGCCGACAAATTCGGCATGCATATTCCAACACTCCCACGATCCTTGGAAGTTAGCCCATGTATCGAACGTTCCGGAGGATGGTCAACGTGCATGGTGGTTGCCTCCGGGAATCTCGGACCACTTAGGCGACCTCTCAGAAATCCCGGTTATGGTGCGTGAAGCCCACGCCAAACAATGCCTATATAAAGGCACCAACCCCAATGACATGGGGGGGGGGGGGGGAATAAGCATATTCTAGCTCTCATACTTTATGATTTTTAGCTCATAGTCTACTATGAGAGTACTGACTTAAGCATCGGAGCGACCTCGCTGGGTTAGCCACCCCGGGTCCTCTGACATTGATTCCTTGCAGGTCTCTAAAGAATTACGAAACTCAACAATCAATCTAGCTCGGCGGTCTGGTTAGCTTAGCTCCTAGCCTGCCCCCAGCTCGGCTTGGTCAGCTCACCACATAATCTGCCTCTAGCTCGGCCTGGCCAGTTCGGCACCTGATCTGCCCCCTAGGCAGCTTGGCACCTAACCTGCCCAACTCGACCCAGTCAGTTCGACACCTAACCTGCCCAGCTCGGCTCAGTCAGTTCGACACCTAACCTGCCCAGCTCGGCCCAGTCAGTTCGACACCTAACCTGCCCAGCTCAGCCCAATCAGTTCGGCACCTAACTTGCCCAGCTCGGCTCAGTCAGCTCGACACCTAATCTACCCCCTGCTCGGCCTGGTCAGCTCGGCATCCAGGTCCTCATCCAGCAAAAGTTCTCCACTTCAGCCTCTGAGTTATCGGCCACTTAGAAGCAGACCAAATGACGAGGTACTTAGCCAAGAATTGATTCATCAGCCTCCTTTGAAAAACAGGTCTCCTATGGACCTGAATTCTTCTCAAGTCTGCTTTAGGCTACAAAGACTGACCTGTAATGGTAGCTCAAGATAGAAACTTCTCACTCTTCAGATATTCCAAGAAGAAAGTTACAACCAAAATGGTTTTAGATGTTCCTATCATATGTGGTGTAATTCAGATGTTCCCATCATATCATGGGTACATCTTACAGATGTTCTCAAGTCTACTTTTGTACAGGTACATGAAAACCATGCCAACGAAAAGTCACAATAAGCACCTCAATGAAAACATGCCAATGATAAACCTGCTAATGAAAGCTCCATCATTTACTAATCAATAAAGAAAATATACACCTCATAACATAAGCACCTCCTAATCATGACACTTGCTAATAATATCAACCACACATACATCATAATATGTAAACATATGTTAATCATAAGTGTTAATCACCAAAAATTCACAAGATACATTATAAGTATTAATCAACCTATGTGGTATATCAATCATATCACCCATTCATCCACTTTAGTTAGTGGCTATTCATCCCACGATCAACATATATGGAGTTTGTGGCATTCAAACATACGAGAAATGATATCAATGGATACATGGGTGTGTCAAATTGTACAAAAAATAAAGAAGTCCTTGTATGCCACTTAAAAAACACAACCGCCACTGAGTTGGGTAGTGGCTACCATTCATTTAATCATGGGCCCTTCATTTATTTAGTAGTAAAAGCAATTTGAAACATTAAATTAGAATGTTTTATATATGTAAATCCACGTGTGTTTTACATTATCAATGTTAAGTTCCCCATGTTTTACATATGTTAGAAATTAATGTTTCTCAAAGTTTAAATAGAAACCAGTGTTTCAGGCATTTTGTCGAGCACCTGGTGCTATTCATGTCAATAAGCAACCAATTCAACATGTATGATGCTGTTACTCACGTGTGGATTCCATGTGTGTGCATTGAAACAAACACATGGGTTCCGACACACCACATATACCTAGATGAAATAAACATATTTGTTCCAGCGCTGCACAAATGAGTGGTAAGGCATAAAAAGTTTGACCATACTTTAATGATGATAGGCTTTGAACACGTAGAGAATAGGTTAAACGAATCCTGCCAATCCCACTGCAAAATAATGAAACAAAATGAGCAAGGAACAAATGTCGTCCTTCCATCAAAGAAAAGGTTTAGGGTTTGATGTTAGGACGAATACGCTCTTTAGTATGGAGAATAGGTATAAGTTTTTGATACAAACCTTGCACCGTCGTACCACCAGTTGGAGTTTGCAACGGCATTTGTCGTAGATGATAGGGTTCCTCCTCCACTAGGACAAGGATGGCAATGTTTTTTCGGGACAAACTTCTAAATGGGTGACCGACCTTCAACCGATCCTTTGTGTGTTTTAATAGAAGGGTAAAACCATAATTTGAACTAAAAGTTCGATTTTTGTCAGTTTTAACGGAAGGATAAAAACATAACTTCAACATTTTCATCCTGATTTAACAATGATGACAATTGTAAAAAACTTAAAGGATAGCTTTAGATAATATGTAAACAATAAGAATACAGGTTAATTTTATTTTGTAAACGGTAAAGATAGTTTAAGAAATCTGCCCATATTTAAAACTGACCGAATCCTAAGGGTGGGAGAAAAGTATCAGAATTTGAATGTACAAGATAATTATCTGTCACAAATGAAAGTTGAGGGACCTAACTATCACTACCCCAAAGTACAGGTGGGTCTCTATATTTTACCTTTGATAGTGAGGCACCACTTTTGCTCCCTCGGTGCTGATTTGTCCTGTTATTTGAATGTACATATGATTACTCATATACCTATATAGACAGTCCATATCTATAGTTTGAATAGACTAAATATTTGAATTGTACCAGCTTTTGATTGATTTTCGAATTCTTTGTGGCATGTGATTTAACCTTGAGCAATTGAAGTGAGGGTATGGCTAACGCTGTTTTTCACAACTTTCATTCAGAACTAGAAGATGCCGCCAATCTAGACTTCTAAAGTCTCCCATTCACATCTACTCTGTGGCATCTTGTACTATGACCCTTCCATTTTTCCTTCTTGGTTTAGATTTTGTTTTCTTTCCTTTGTTCATAAAAAAAATGATAATCTTTACCATAAACATGGGTTAACGTTAAGAATTCAGGAAGTGTATTAAATCATATTGTACTTTTATAGAAACAATAGCATTATATATATATATATATATATATATATATATATATATATGAACAAATCCTTCTTTCAAAGGAATGATTAGGTACATCCTTTGTGAAAGATAAAACCCTAGCCCTATTAAGTAAGCTTAGTGATGCCCATCTTTTCAAAGCATAATAGGTCGGTTTGCCATCTAAGTACAATTCTTTCTCCTCTCTTGAAGCTAGGGTTTTATTTAAAGCATTTTTAAGATAGGAGGTTCCTCACATGCCATGAACATAGAGGATTTGTGTGTTCTTTAGGTAAAATTTTTTAAGCCTTATTTAAATAGAAATTAATAACAATCATTTCTCATTTAAAACATGCATATTGGATATATAGAAAAAATTCTATTAATTGATAATCAAGGTTCAAAGTATCAATATTTTCAATATGCAAAATTAGCATAATTGGAGTTTATTTATTTATATAGATATTCTTTTTTCTTTTAAACTCGTTTTTTTTTATTTTTTTTTTTTTGGTTTGATAGTGTGACAGTGGACATGTTACATCAGTTATTAATAGAGAATGGTTTGTAAAACATTAGAAGGAATCAAGTTGGTTAATCAAACTATCATTAGATAATATAATATGATTTAAGGAGATACTAAGACTGCAATGTGATTCTCCTTGCATCACACTTCCTTGACTAACATATAAAAACACACCATGTGGTACCCAGTTTGCAACTTTATTTTAGTACTGGTCCCTATAAGTTGAAAGTTATAGGGAGAAACTTTATCCTTCATTCAGTTATATGTAGTTTTCTCAAAGCCTTTTGTGGAGTCAAACATTAATTCAACAAGTAGTTGGCTTAAATAAGTTTGGCTCGGAGTATTCCTTCTTGGGCATCCATCAAGTGGTCTTTTATTAACACTCTTTGGTCCTGGATTTTTAAATGAACTGATCATAACCATTGGATTAACAATCCAATGTTGCCAGACTCAGACCAGACCAGACCATTCAACCATAACGGTTCTCTATCTGGTCCGGGTCTAACAACATTCATCATATCTTGTCTAAAGGTCCCTTTAAGTTGGAAGTTTTAGAGGAGACGTGTGATGACCGTCAAGTATGAAACAGTCAAGAAAGAAGGAATGGTGCTATATCTTCTATAAAAGAGGGTGTGAGCCTCTATAATTTGCTACAAGAAAACACCAACAGTCAGAGAGAGATAGAGAGATGGGCATGGAGCTGCGTGTTCTTATGATGCTATGCCTTATAAATCAAGAGGAGCCCCAGTAGAATGAGATGCAGTCATGCAGATGCAAAATTTAGTTGGATATCATAAGGGAAGTAAGCATACTCAACAGTCAACAACACAGTGTCCTTGTGATACTGAAGAATGAAAATCAATTTAGGGGTGTCAATGCACCGGGTTTGAGTTGGACTCTATCCAAATCAAAATCGATTTGAACGGGTTGAATGGACCAATTAGACATGTTGAAATTGTACAAGTACAGACTTAATGGTCCAAATTATTTATTGGACCGGATTGGACCTGGTCCATCTGTAATGGATTTGTATTGAATTAGGTTGGATTGAACCAGTATCCGATCCATTGAAAGAAATAAGAGTATGGGTGTCAATGGACCAGATTTGGTTGGACCCAATCTAAATTAAAACCAATTTGAACAGATTAGATGGTCTGGATGTTGAACTGGACCAGTCCAGAATGGTCCGGAGTATTCATCGGATTGGATTGAACCTGGTCCGTCTGTAATGAATTCATTCTGGGCTGGGTCAGGTTGGACCAATATGCATCAGAATCTGACATCTCTTGTGAGTCAGATTCAGCAAGATAAAGAGAAAAAAAGGCTGTGTTTGACATGGGCCCCCAAAATTAATTCTGCTGATTCTCACAATTCGGAGGATCAGAATGATATTTGGCATTACATTTTCCTAAGAAAATGTGCTTATGTAGAATGTAAAAATCTCATCCTGGGGATTGGCTTTTTTTAGAAGTGACGAATTTTCACTTATGCACTCTCATCATATTTCGCATGAAATTAGAACCAATGCGATAAAAAAAGCCCTAAACACTTCCTCTTTGCATCTCTTCTCCATGAACGTTTGTTGTTCTGCTATCTTCCACTCACTCATTAATGGTTACCTCATAAATACTAATAGCTTCCAGTCATCTTCTCTAGCAATAAGAACTAATCGGCTGTGGTCTTCTGCCTCATGTAAATAGATACACTGATGTGACTTTTAAAATAGATCTATTGAACACTTAATAGATCAATGTTTTTAATAACAAAAAAAAATATAGCTTGCCAAACTAGAATCAAAATACGATTCTCGGGGCCTATTTTGTTTCATTGGCCATACATACTAGTGTGTGGACAAAACCACAATAAATAAATAAAATTACAACTAATATTTAAACAAAAGTAACAAAACCACTGAATTTGCACTCTTTGATTCCAACATAACATAGAGGATAATATAAGATTTTATTAATGAATTTATATAATTTCTATCCAACATATCATAGATGACAAATTCAGATTTATCTCATTGAATATAGGAGATAATAGGGAATTTATTTCAATGAATTTATATATATATATATATATATATATATATAGTTATCCCTTAATTTTATATTATTATTTTTCCAATCTTTAATAAGATTTTTATTACCAAATTTATATTCTAATTTTCTCTAACTTCCATATGATATTTATGACCGAATTTATGTTATAACTTTTCCAACATTTCAKAGAATATTTATCCCCGAATTTATATTTTAATTTTATCCAACATTTCATATAGTTTCTATCACTAAATTTATATTCTAATTTCCCAACCTTTCACAGGATAATATTTATCACCGAAATTATATTATAATTTTTTTCAACATTTAATAGGATTTCTATCACTAAATTTATATTCTAAATTTTCCTAGCTTTCATATGATAGTTATCACCGAATTTATATTATAATTTTTCCAACATTTCATAGGATTTATCTCATCGATTTTTTTTTTCAAAATTTTATTTATCATCGAATTGAACTAATCAGTTCTCAATCCAAAAATTTCAAGCAATGTATCATGCTAAACAACAAAAAATTTACAACACCATTTGAAGCTTTATCATGCAAGGCAATAGATAAAATCCCTAAAAAAAATCCAAGCTAATAATATTGGAAAGATATTAACATACGTATTTGTGGAAGAGAAAGAAAGAGAAGAATACAGGCGGGTGGTGGTGTTGAAAGAGACGGATGGGGGCGGTGCAGTCGTGGTTGACTGGCAGAGGGTGGGTGCAGGAGCAAAGGCAGAAGAGAAAGGAAGAGTCAAATCTTGTTCTCAAGATGGAGACTAGAGCCAACAAAAAAAAAAAAAAAAACATACAAACGTAGATACATGTTTCAAATAAGAACTAGCGAAAGGGGCCAATGCTAAGTGTGAGCAAATAATAAGGTAAGAACATGATATAATTATTAATTTATATTTGATAATTTAATATTCAGTTGACTTCTTTGTTAATGTAAAAATAGTAAAATAGAGAAGCTTGATGAAATTTAAAATGTAAATGAGCTCAAAAATAAATTTTTCTTTCCTTGAGTGTTAAGGGTTTTTAATGACATAATTCCTCATTTGCATCCAAGTTATTGGTGATTTAAACATCTAGGACATCCTTCAGCCTTGCTATTACAACCCAATGCAATAGAAAATTTTATTTTCGAGCTCATGGAAGATTTTGCATAATTGTAAATTGGAGTATAGGTTTTGTATCGGTATTGTATTGATTGATACAATGCGATATAAACCGATATATATCTATATCGGTCCGATACACATGATTGATAAGATATACCTCCAATCGTAGCATATCTCATGTCGGATGCTACCAATATCGATACATTATGTCCTATGTCAGACATATCCTATCAACATTTCAATCCTTGCTCAACAACCCACAAATTCTTCATAAAAAGAGTTCATTAGACATTCCAAAGGACTAAAATTGATTCAGCTTTTGCTTTTCTCCTTTGCATCAAATTGCATTTTTTTTCTCATTCCAGCCATCTATGTTATTTTGTGCACAATCTTCAAGTGCTCTCGTATTAGGTTGCCTCCTTATAGGCCTTCATCTCCTTTCGACCTACAAAAGTTTATCCCAAAACAGCATCCTAGTTTTTGGAAATTTACCACTTTCTCGCATGATGGGAGTTTTTTATCCTTTTTTACAAAACCTACCCAAAATGACTTCAAGCCAAATCAATCCATCATTTTAAACATCACTACAATGTTTCATTGAAAATCTACATTTTTTAGTGCTCTGAACCAAAACCTTTTTAACCACCTATAAATCCTTTCTTTAGTTTTAAAATCATCCCTAAACCCATCTTAACCCATCATTACCCTTCTAGTCTTATATCCTTTAGCCATACCAATCCTACATCAAGTAGGAACAAAAGATAGTTTTTCCATTGACTGAAAATATGGATGCTTGTAAAATGAGATTCCAAGTATTGAAATATTAAATAGGGTAAAATACAAAATCCTTCCTTGAAGTTTATGACAATCATAAAAACCTTCCCTATAATT